TGACTATTGGAGTTTTTCATTTGAAGAAAAATAAGGTTTTCGCCGGAGCTTGGTAGAAGACTACACAACAGGAGTTTGGGACTTATTTTAAAACATATAAATTTCATGTAATAACTATTTATTTCTGTTTCCTGGTGTTTTAACAAGTTTAATATCTTCCCTGAATAATATGACAAATGTTATAAAAAATTTTATTCATTTTAAAAATAAATAATAAACAAATGTACTTTTGAATTGAGAACACTGACTTTATTAATTTAAACCCTGATTGGAGCTTATTTAAAAATAAATAATGTTTTTGTTTGTAATATTTTACTAAGTAATAGTATGTATATAAGTAAATCTATATGATTTTCCCATTGTTGGAGCCTTTTTCTCAGGATAACACATTTTGATTAAACTAAATTTTGTAAGCATAGTTTTAAAAAATATGCTTAAGATGTCGACATTTTATTGAGTTATATTCCACTGTATATATATATGTAATTATTTATTCATTCAATTATTGATAGACATTAAGTTGTTTCAATTGTGTCAATTGTGTCTGTTATAAATGTTATGCTTCTAGTTCAGCTGCCATTGTTATTCATATACATGTCTTTGTGGACATATGTTTTCATTCCTCTTAAATAAATATCTAGGTATGGAATTGCTGGGTTATGTGGCAAGTGTATGTATAACTTTATTAAAAATTCCAAATTGTTTGCTAAAGTGGCTACGCCATCTCATATTCCCACTGGCGATGCACTCGAGTTCCTATGTTTCCCCATCAACACTTGATTTCATACATCTTTTAGTTTTCAGCCATTCTAAAGTGTCTATAATGGCATCCCAGACTGACGCATGCAGCAACATGGGTAGATCTCAAAAACTTTGAGCTGAGTGAAATACATTAGGTATAAAAAGGAGTATATTTTATGTGATTCCATGAATGTGAAATTCTAGAAGGTAAATCTAATCTATATCGACAGAAAGCAGATCAGTAGTTGTTTGATGCCAGGAATAGGACTAACGATTACCTGCAAAGCAGCACAAAGCTAGGGCACTTTTAGGGATCATGGACATATTCTGCATTTTTATTGGAATTGTGGTTCCATTCATGTATATATTTGTCAGAATTCATCAAACTGTACACTTAAAATTGGTGCATTTAATTGTATGTAGATTATACATCAGTACAATTTATATAATAAGAAACATATCAAATCTACTTTTGAATATTAACATAAAGTCTTAATCATATCTGCTTGCCATGCTTAGGAATACAAAGCATTTTAAGAATATGAAAGAAAGGTAGAAGCAATCCACAGAATCAACTATTGTTTCTTCCAGGGAGGCATATCTGTAAAAGCCTCTGAATATCTTGCGTTCTTTCAGACTCAGTCAAGTTCTTACACCTAGAGAGTAAAATTCTGATCAGATGGCCAGTTGGGTCAGGTTCGGATATTTCTAGCTTACCAAAATCTGAATATCTATTAATTATAATTAAATTAATACATGTTCTTTGTCGAAAGCAATGCAGGGGAAGAGAGCATTCATCATTCTAATACCTAAAGTCAACTACTGTTGTTATTTTGGAATATTTCTTCATTTTAATGCATTTTTAACATTTCAGATATTATAGTAAGTGCTATTTTATAGGTACATTTTCACTCAATATTAGATCATTAGCATTTTTCCAAGTCTTTAAACATTCCATAAACATCATTTTAATAACTCATCATATGCCTATATCATCATTAACTATTACTCTTTCAATGGCATTTTGTTTTTGTTTGTTTGTTTTCCCAAACAGCAGATACATTGCCTGGACCGTTGAATATTCTCCAAAAGTTTTGTTGAATGAATGAATGAGTTATAAATATTGTGAAGAACATCTTTGTGCCACAATCTGTATTTTTTGAGAAACTTTAAGATAAATTCCCAGAACTAGAATGTCTGTGGCAAACACATAAAAATGTTAAAGTCACTTGATTCACTTGACAAAAGCTTTTATCTTGGGAAAAAAGACAAAAATGATACTGTACATGGGTTTTCAAAAGTTGTCTAAGGCACATTTTAAAATATTTAAAAAGAATTATAGTTCATTTTAAACTGTTTCTTTTACTAGTGTACTAGTATGTGCAATTAAAGGCAAAACCCTGGCCCTTTTCTTTTTTCTTTATAAAAGTAACCTCATGGTGGTTATTTCTAAGAGCATCTTGGTTTCATAGTGCATCCTATCCCTCTGTATCTCTTTTCATGTAATTTCTAAATTGAAAACTTTTTTTTTTCTTGATTATGATGTCTGCTGTGATATTTTGCCATCACTGCCTTCTTTTCTCCAGTATGGTCTTTTTGTAAATTTGCTGCCACTCTGACTCTTATTGAGCAGCAGATACCATGAAAACACAGAACTGCTCTCTGGTGATTGATGGTAGTGGAAGAGTTCACACTCTTTACTTGGTGCTCTGCTCTATAGAAATCTTCCTTGGCTCATTTTCCCAATGAAGCATCAATCGTGAGCCTGCTATTTCTTTTTGTACTGGTTTCTTTTTGTGTGTCTTTCCCTAAGTCAGACTTTCTCATTGCCCAGAGAGGCAGGTGTTGGGCTTTCCTGAACACATTTGAGGTCTGGTAATTCAAGCTGGCTATTAAAGATGGGAGTACTGCCTGATGATCTGGGTCCATGGCCAGAGAACTATCCAGTGCTGGCCTTTGTATTCCAGCCTGTTTTGATTCTATTTTAACCCTTAATATGTGAGGAGGGGCTCTTTATCCTGTGGCAATATTGTGGATCTAGAGAAGAGATTTTCTTACCACATTGCTGCTAGCATATGAATGCTTAGAATTCTTTTGATTTCTTTGTGGCATTTTTCTAGTTTCTCCATTTCCAATTCTCTTCTTTATTCATAGTTTTGGGGCAGTTGCTTGACATAAAAATATTGTGATTTATTTTCAAACTACTGCTTTCCTGGGAGAGAAGCCACTTTTTTTGAAAAGACACTTTTTAAATACTAATTAGAGATTTAAATTATGTCATGCACCTTACGTAAGCCGCGTGCAGGCCCTAAATTCATATCTATATGACCAAAATAACAAAAATAGCATGTTATCTTGTAGTTTAGCCATCATAAGAACTAAATCCATATGCCATATTCACAGCCTGGTTGGGTGTTGCAAAGATGATTCTGAGAAAAGTAAATAAAAAGATTGGAGCAAATAAAATGATCCAGTAACAGCATCTCATTATTTCATATATGTTTTAACTTAGGAAGGAATATTCTTTAACTTCTCTTAGATAGAGTTCAGTAACTTTCTGTATTATTGACCTTTAAAGTTTTTATGCAGATTTATAAAGTCAATAAGAAAAAACTGCTTCACTGGTTCCTTCTGGGATATGTATCAAAATTGAGGTACGAAATTCTGAATGCTTTTTCAGAAACCCAATCTAAAGCTTTTTAAATGAGTCAATACTGCTCTTCAAATTTAAAAAATACTTTTCTCTTCCTTACAAATGAGGTGAGAGATTACATATAAATGGCTAGTCAAAAGCATGGCAAAACTCCCCTGGCAACCGCCCATTTCCTTGACTTTATTGCTGTGCACTTCTTGAGGGCATATCAGGAGTAGTGGCTGAGCAAGGGTCAGGGGTTCTGGGAAAACAGGTGTCACTCAGATCGTTTTACTTGACAGTCATGAGGCTCGAGGTTACTGACCCAGTGGAAGGATGAACAGGCCCAACAGTAGTGGCAAGCTGTACATTTTACATTTTTGCCCTCCTTTTTACATGTTTCCTTTTTGATTCACACCAAATCTTTTCTTTTTCAATAATATAAGTAATGTATGTTATTTTTGGGGCCCTAAAAGGACTCAAGTTAAAAGTTACTTGTAGAATTTTGAAATTCAAGACAGGATAAAAAGTAATTTTGGGCCATTGTTTGGGTGATTTGATAATAAATTCTGACTTCTGCCAGAAAATACAAATAAAATGCACCATACAGATGAATTAGAGACAATGAAATGTCTTTTTTGGTTCAATGTGCTTTGACTTTAACATTTCTACAAAAATTCAGTGGACACGGTGTTTTATTTTTTCATTTAACATCTCTTTTATTTTTCTCTTTTCATTTTCTTCTGATTTCTATGGCTCCATTTCTCTCTCTCTCTCTCTCTCTCTCTCTCAGTTTTCATAATCTAGCTCACTTACACACACACATACACACACACACACACTTCTCTTTTTGAATAATGGAGAAGTTTTGTGCAATATTTTGAGAGTATGTAGTAAGGGATGAAAGTTGAGCACACTTTCAGATATTTCTTGAAAAATAGCTGTAAGTCATCTATTTGGTGCCTACCACAGAAAATTGAAATATTCCTGCTTTTTTCTATATTTTAAAATTCCTTTTGTAGTAGCAATCCTCTATAAAGATGCCATCAGGAAGCATTAAGTGACATTAAATAATTCTGTAAAATATCATAAAGAGTAGATATTTCACTAGATAATCCTAATAATATTTTATAGCTTATGTGGCCTGCAACCTCCTAATATTCTAGAGTATCTATGAAGACAACTGGGAATTAATTTACTAAGTATTGAATTTAAAACCACTAACGCATATTCCATTACTAAAGTAGTATCAGTACAAGTGAAAAAAAAAATTGAAGAGAGTTTCAAGATGCAAATGACAGTTAAAAAATATCACCATGTACTGTGATGGAATGGTAATAATTAATTAATATCTATTGGTATATCCTAGCAATTTTAAAAGTCTGTTTTGGTAAACAGAATAGACACATTTAATCCACATCTGTCAGATTCAGACTTGAACAACTAAAGGAAAAACTACAGGCAATGATTTTACTCTTTTTATATTTATAAGGAAATGTTATATGGATCAATTTGTAAGCTTCTTTTTTTATAAGATAAGATACACCAATTTTTTTTTTTTAATGAAACAGGCTTTTCCTCTACATTTGACATTTAGTTTGCACATGTTTTTTGTTTTGTTTTTTAGGCTCAATTTTCCTACATAATTAAGAGTGTGAAGTTTGGGCAATGTCAAGAATCACATCTGTACTGAAATCAATTATCTGTGTTTGGTAAGTAGGGGAGAAAATACTTGATAGATATTTCTTATCTGCAGCAAATTCTCATGTTCATGTTTTATCTTTGATCTTCTTGAAGACTCACAGAAAATTTCTAAGCAACACTTGATTGTTTTGCCTAAACTGCTTTGTATTTTGACCACAGGTTGGAGACTTACTTTTATGAATATAAATATAATCTACTCTACTCAAAACCAAGCAGTCTGATTTTCTGCCATTCTTTTTTACCTTTCCTTTTTAACTTTTATTTTAGGTTTGGGGGTATATGTGAAGGTTTGTTACATAGGTAAATGTGTCATGGGAGTTTGTTGTGCATATTATTTCATCATTTGGGTATCGAGCCCAGCACCCAGTAGTCATCTTTTCTGCTCCTCTCCCTACTTCTACCCTTTCCACCTTCCACCCTTCTTATCATTTAGTTCCTACTTATAAGTGAAAACATGCAGTATTTGATTTTTTTGATCCTGCATTAGTTTGCTAAGGATAATAGCCTCCAGCTCCATCCATGTTCCCATGAAAGACATGATCTCATTCCTTTTTAATGGCTACGTAGTATTCCATGGTATATACATAGCACATTTTGATTATACAATCTGCCTTTGATAGGTATTAGGTTGATTCTGCTATTGTGAAGAGTGCTTCAGTGAACATTTGTGTGCATGTATCTTTATGGTAGAATAATTTCTATTTATCTGGGTATGTACCCAGTAATGGGATTGCTGGATCAAATAGTAGTTCTGCTTTTAGCTCTTTGAGGAATTGCTATACTGTTTTCTACAATGGTTGAACTAATTTGCACTCTCACCAACAGTGTATAATGTTCCTTTTTCTCTGCAACCACACTGGCATTTGCTTTTTTGTTTTAACTTTTTACTAACAGACATTCTGACTGGTGTGAGATGGTATCGCATTATGATTTTGATGTGCGTTTCTCTAATGATCTGTAGTGTTGAGCTTTTTCACATATGCTTTTTGGCGTCATGTATGTCTTCTTTTGAAAATCATCTGTTCATGTCCTTTGCCCACTTTTCATTGAGGTTGTTCTTTTTTTTTTTTTTTTTTTACTTCTTGTAAATTTGTTTAAGTTCATTATAGATGCTGAATATTAGACCGTTGTCAGATACATAGTTTGCATTTTTTTTTCCCATTCTATAGATTGTCTGTTTACTCTAATAGTTTCTTTTTTCTCTGTGAAAGGTCTTAAGTTTAATTAGATCCAACTTGTCCATTTTTTTTTTTTTTTTTTTTTTTTGCTATTGTTTTGGTGTCTTTGTCATGAAATCTTTGCCCATTCTGATGTCCAGGATGGTATTGTCTAGGTTGTCTTCTAGGGTTTTTGTAGTTTTGGGTTTTACATTTAAGTTTTCAATTCATCTTGAGTTGATTTTTATGTATGATGTAAGGAAGAGGTCCAGTTTCAATCTTCTACATATGGCTTAGCCGGTTAACCCAGCACTATTTATTGAATAGGGATCCTTTTCCCTATTGCTTGTTTTTGTCATGTTTGTCAAAGGTCAGATGGTTGTAGTGTATGGTCTTATTTCTGGGTTCTCTATTCTGTTCCATTGTTCAGGGTGTCTGTTTTTGTACCAGTACTATGCTATTTTAGTTACTGTAGCCCTGTAGTATAGTTTGAAGCCAGGTAGCATGATATCTCCATCTTTGTTATTTTTGCTTGGCATTGCCCTAGATATTCAGGCTTCTTTTTTTTTCTTTTTTTTTTTTTTACTCTATATGAATTTTAAAATAGTTTTTTCTAGCTCTGTGAAGAATCTGAATGTTAGTTTAATAGGAATAGCATTGAAACTATAAGTTGCTTTGGGCAATATGGCCATATTCTTGATATTGAATCTTCCTATCCATGAACATAAAATGTTTTTTCATTTGTTTGTGTCATCTCTGATTTATTTGAGCAGCACTGTGTAGTTACCCTTGTAGAGATCTTTCACCTCCCTAGTTAGCCATATTGCTAGGCATTTTATTTTTTCTTTGGCAATTAAGAATGGGAGTATATTACTGATTCATCTCTCAGCTTGACTGTTGTTGGTGTATAGGAAAGCTAGTGAATTTTGCACATTGATTTTGTATCCTGAGACTTTGATGAAATTTTTTGTCAGCTTAAGAAACATTTTTGTTGAAACTGTCAGGTTTTCTAGATATAGAATCCTGTTATCTGCAAACAGGGCTAGTTTGACTTCCTCTTTTCTTGTTTGAATGCCTTTATTTCTTTATATTGCCTGATTGCACTGGCCAGGACTTCCAGTACTGTGTTGAATAGGAGTGGTCAGAGAGGGCATCGTTGTCTTGTGCTGGTTTTCAAGGGAAATGCTTCCAGCTTTTGCCCTTTTAGTATGATGTGGGCTGTGGGTTTGTCATAGATGACTCTTATTATTTTGAGGTATGTTTCTTTAATACCTCACTTATTGAGATGAGGTATGAATGAATGTCGTATTTTATGGAAAGTCTTTTCTTCATCTACTGAGATAATCATGTGGGATTTTTTCTTTAGTTTGCTTTATGTGATGAGTCACATTTATTGATTTGTGTATGTGGAACCAAACTTGCATCCCAGGGATGAAACTTACTTGATCATGATAGATAAACTTTGATGGGCTGCTGGATCTGGTTTGCAGGTAGTTTGCTGAGGATTTTTGCATCAATGTTCATCAAGGATATTTGCATGAAGTTTTCTTTTTTTGTTGTGCCTCTGCCAGGTTTTGGTATCAGGATGATGCTGGCCTCATATAATGAGTTAGGGAGGAGTCCCTCTACTTCAAATTTGTGAAATACTTTCTGCGGGTATAGTACCAGCTCTTCTTGGTACATCTTGTAGAATTCAGCTGTAAATTCATCGGGTCCTGGGGTTTTATTGGTTAGTAGACTATGTATTACTGCCTCAATTTCAGAGCTCATTATTGTTCTGTTCAGAGATTCAATTCTTTCTTGGTTCAGTCTTGGGTGGTGGTAGGTGTATTTCTCCAGGAATTTACCAATTTCTTCTAGATCTTCTAGTTTATATGCATAGAGGTGTTCATAGTATTCTCTGATGGTTGGTTGTGTTTCTGTAGGATCAGTGGATATTACCACTGATATAACCCCCTTGTCATTTCTGATTGCATTTGTTTGAATCTTCTCTTTTTTTTCTTTATTAGTCTACCTAGTGGTCTATCTATTTCATTGATTTCTTTTTTTTTTTAATAGCTTCTGAGTTTGGTGACCTTTTGAATGGCTTTTCATGTTTCAATCTCCATTGGTTCAGCTCTGGTTTTGGTTATTTCTTGTCTTTTGCAAACTTTGGGATTTGTTTGCTCTTAATTCTCTAGTACTTTTAGTTGTGATATTAAGTGGTTGATTTGAGATCTTTTTAACTTTGTGATGTGAGCATTTAGTGCTATAAATTTCCCTCTTAACACTGCCTTAGCTGTGTCTCAGAGATTCTGGTATCTTGTATCTTTGTTGTCTTTAGTTTCAAAAAACTTCATTATTTCTGTTTTAATGTCATTATTTGCCCAAAAGTCATTCAGGAGCAGGTTATTCAATTTCCATGTAATTGTATAGTTTTGAGTGAGTTTCTTAGTCATGATTTCTAATTTGATTGTGCTGTGGGTCCAAGAGACTCTTATTATTTTAATTCTTTTGCATTTGCTGAGGAATGTTTTCCTTCCAATAATTTGATTGGTTTTTGAGTATGTGCTATGTGGTGATGAGAAGAAAGTGTATTCAGTTGTTTTTGGTTGGGGAGTTCTGTAGCCATCTGTCGGGTCCACTTGATCCAGAGCTAAGTTCAGGTCCTGAATATCTTTGTTAATTTTCTGTCTCAGTGATCTAATATTGTCAATGGCATGCTAAAATCTCCCACTATTAATATTTGCCAGTCTACTTCTCTTTGAAGGTCTTTAAGAACTTACTTTGTGAATTTTGGTGTTTCTGTGTTGGGTACATATATATTTAGGACAGTTAGATCTTCTTGTTGAATTGAACCCTTTATCCTTGTTTAATGCCCTTCTTTGTCTTTTTTGATCTTTGTTGGTTTAAAGTCTACTTTTTCAAAAAATTTATTGTAACCCTTGCTTTTTTATTTTTCTTTTAGTTGGTAGGTTTTTCTACATCCCTTTGTTTTGAACTTATGTGTATTGTTGCATGTGAGATGGTTCTCTTGAAGGTAGCATACCAATGGGTCTTGGTTCTTCATCCAGTTTGCCACTCTGTGTCTTTTCATCAGGTCATTATGATGTTACCTAGTTATTTTGCATAATTGTTCACATGGTGGCTTTATAGTGTCACTGATTTGTGTTCCTTAGTGTGTTTTTATAATGCCTGACAATGGTCTTTCCTTTTCATATTTAGAACTTCCTTCAGGAGCTTTTGTAAGGCAGATATGGTGGTGATAAATTTCCTCAGCACTTGCTTGTTGAAAAGGATCTTACTTTTCCTTCACTTTTGAAGCTTAGTTTGACCAGATATGAAAGTGAGTTGGATTTTTTTTCTTTAAGAATATTGAATATTGGCTCCAATCTCTTCTGGTTTGTAGGATTTCAGTTGAAATGTCCACTGTTAGTCTGATGAGATTCCTTTTGTAGGTGACTTGACCTTTCTCTCTAGCTGCCTCTAAGATTCTTTTAACCTCTTCATCTATTGTGATATGAATGCTTATGGATTGCATTATGAAATTTTGTAGTGTGTTTTTCAGCTGTATATAGTTGGTCATGTTCTTCTCTCTACTGGCTACTTTGTTGGTCAGCTCCTGTAATGTTTTATAATGATTCTTAGCATCCTTGCATTGGGGTTCAACATGCTCCTATAGCTGAATGAACCTTGTTCCTAACTATATTATGAATTCTATTTCTGTCATTTCAGCCATCTCAGCCTAAGCCCAGTTCCAAACCCTTGCTGGAGAGGTGATGCTTTCATTTGGAAAAAAGATGGTACTCTGGCTTTTTAAGTTTTCAACATTTTTGTGCTGTGTATTTCTCATCTTTGTGGGCTTATCTACCTTCAATCATTGAGGCTGCTGACCTTTGGATGAGTTTTTAGTTCCTTTTATCCTATCTGATGACCTTGAGAGTTTGATTGTGGTATAAGATGGATTCAGCCAACTGGCTTAGTTTCTGTGAGATTTTAGGGGACCAACACTCAGCTCCCAACTCTAAACTGTGTGCTCTAACTCTGGGGCACTTGCATTGGGCCTTTGTTCTTTGACTCCTCAAGGTTTGGAGTCCACTGTGCTGGGGGGACTGAAGTGTGGCAGATGAAGCAGAGTGCTAGCAGATGCAGGGATGCCTGCTTTCCTGTGGGTGTTCACCACAGTGGCAGAGGCCAGGCAGCTTGGGAGGAGTCAGAATTCTCTGCTGAAGACCATGTGCTGTGTTGCACTGAAGGTTGTGTTGGCATGGGGCAGTGTGCTGGCTGGCACACATCTGAATGCCTTCTCTGTGCTCTCCAAGTGGTAGTGATTGCTCAAGGTGTGGGGAGGATCCCGTGTATTCTGCACAGTGTGTTAGTGCAAGGGCTGGGCACTAGCAGGGGATGGGCTTGCTGGCTCTGTGCCCACCAAGGCTCACTCTGCAATGGCAGTCAGTAGAGTTGAGGCATACTGAACTTCTGCATACTGGCAGGGCAAGTAAAGCAAAGCCTGCCCATGCAAACACTTGTCAGCAAAGTGATGTGGAGATTTG